GGTCAATCCCACTATTCGTTGGTAAAAGAGTAGCCCAAGAGTTGGCGGTGGGTGGTGATGACTAGCTGCCTTCCCTCTAGTCTTACACTGCTAAATTAGGGACGGCTAGCTTTGCGCGAAATTCAAAACAAACAAACAAACAAAACATTATTGAAACCCAAACCTCCTTCGCTCCAGGCGAGTGTTCCACTATCTGAACTAAAACATTAACTCACTAGCGCTTACTAGTAGAATACTTTTTAAGAAACTACGGTCTTCCTCTCTCACAAACAAGGTCAGTCCTGTAGGAACAACCACTATTTGGGCACTAGATTTTCTGAATTAATACAATTTTTCTTTGTTTCCCTCGTACAGTTTCAACTCGGGACCTCTCACACGCTAAAGCTGTCCTTTACCAACTGAGATAAAGTGCTAAACCACTAACAATTCCAGATAAGGTATTTTTTTAACAACTAAATCACCACATCTAATCAAACTGAACTAACTCAATTTAGCTTAGACTTAGTAATTAATTTAACTCTATTTTCAAAGAATTAAGTAAATTCTAAGTGACCACAAATCTATTTTGAGACAATTAACTCAAATCTAGCTTTAAGGACTTATGTTTTATTGAATTAATTAAAATCTGACTTAAAACGTAGCTTAATGTAAGTAATCCAAATTTAACTTAAAACAATTATTATGAACCAGTTTATGCAATTCATCTAAATCAAAATTTAAAAAAAAATCATAATCTAGCTTAAAATAAATGATAAAATGTATATGAAATGGTTAAATGATTTTACAATCTCAAAATCATGACGATCAACATAGATTACTCAACTACATTTTACAAAGGAACGATAGAGTTCGTACGTGAACAACGGTTAGGTCAAACTTTAAAAAGACTCCCTATGTATCAGATGTATTTGTGGTTTGTTTAAGAAATCCGTTTGTTTAAGTTACATATGGGCTTTCTGTGTATAACCATCTGTCATCTTGAATTGATAGTATAAAGGAAAGCCAGCTAGTTAACAACACTCACTATTAATTTTTGTGCTACTTTTGTCTGATCGAATGATAGGATTTGACCATCACTCTTGTAGCTCACTGATGGTCTCAAAAAGTTTTTGCAGCAACTGACTGTTAACCATAAATTCTCGAATTCACAGTCCGGGAACATTAACCACGAAAAACGTTCGGCCCAAGTTCAGACATAACCGTTCTTATAGGTTGGAATTGTTTTGATTGAATAATGAAATCGACTGCCACTTTTTTAACGCACCCAATCATAAAATGTAAATGTAAATATCAAATGATTTATGTCGATATATCAATTTATTTGCTTTTAAAAATTGAAACTAAACATACGTTTTAATTGATTTTCATTTGGGTTTCTAAGAGTTACTGCTACATTCGACAACATTTTATGTACTGTAGGAAAGACAGTTTCGAAGGTGCAAAGAACACAGATCAAAGAAGGCTGAAAATTTATGCTCCACGATGTTCAAGGGATGCGTTCGTCCGCTTTACCCTATTGAAGTAAGTCATTATGGAAGTGAGTTTGTATGACTTCATAAAGGAGTTGATGAGAAATTGATGAGTTATAGGAGGCGATGTCGTTTGAGACTGTTAAATAAATTTGAAAAATATATGAAACATCTTACTTTAAAGTAAGTAAGCGGATGTTTCTTTCGCGTTTCTGTTGAACCAATGTGTATGATTGACTTATTATTCATTTTTTTGTATTTCTTGCCTGAGAGTGCTGTAAGATGAAATATATTTGATCCAGGCTTGGCCAATATACGCTTATGTAAGGTAGATGGTGAGAGTAGGTTTTGGTATTCAGCTTTTCTGAAGTATTTCAATGTGTTGGTACGAGTTTTTGTGGTTAGTGGTTTTAATATGGTTGTTCGGTGAAGTTCTGACACTGAGATGTATTTGGAGGGGGAGAGAGTCTTCTGGCTATCCGTATCATTTGGATATGAAGTTTCTTGTACTTTGAACAGCCTGTTTTGAGGCCGGCCATATTCAAAAACATTTTGTAAGGTCACGTGTAATAAAATTCTAACGCTTTTATTACCATCTGTTTTTTTTACACCGATTTTAGTTTATAAATTATCAAATATTTTCTTATTCAGGAAGAGGAAAACAGTAAAGGGAAATAATACAAGTTAGTTTTAAATTAACCAAATTACTTTGGGCTATATCTTTACTTAATTTTTATTTACATATTCTTTAGATATTTTTATGCGACAAGGAAGGTTTCATGTAATATCATACTTGGGATTATTTTAAATTTATCTTAACGAACAATGAGATTTCACTGTCACTTTTATAGTGCATACTTGGTACCAAAGTGCGGAGCGCGTTTTCAAGTAAGTGGACACGAACCACAAACCCTCGTATTCATAGTCCAAACATAAATAATAACAGTTGGATAAAATTAATATTGGGCTTTGAATCTTTGTTGTATGATAAAATTCTAGTTTTACGACTCGTTAAAATTAACGAGATTTTCAATATTTACATTGTACACCAGTTACAGAATGTAACGTTTTAACGTGTGATAAGTTTACTCATATATAACCTTATCAACTTTCCACATCTGGAGTTGTGAGTGAATTTCTCCTGGCTGTATTAAGAATAATTCGATTATAATATTTTAGGAGTTGAAAAGAAACTGGACACTGAGAAGAATGAACTTGATCAAATTGCAGTTTTTGGAACTTCAGCTTCAGTTTACACATTCTTGTCAAGTAACACCCTCACTCGTGTTTGTTACAAAGCAAAACTCTCTGTGTTTACTCATATAACATGAGTTATCCAAACATCTGCAGATTTTGTCCGGATGTGCCTACGTCTTAGGCTCAGCTCAAACCATCCTGATGTCACGAATACATTGTTTCCTTGAAACGCAAGATCTACAGTTCTTGGTTTTGATGAGAATGCTTAACTCTACTTAGAGAAACTCTATTTGAAATATTGTAATATACACGTTTCATAATATTTGTTACTATTTTTTATTAAACATTGTGATATAGCAAATACATAAAACTCTTAATTCGTTTTTTCTAAAATATTTGTCTGTCCATTTATTATCTTTCCACATTTCTCTCGTCCGTTAGTCTGTCTCAATATTCACAACAACGGATGTTACACTATAAAAGCTCATTTACCAAAATTTAAATCGTGAATATTTTCTTCTGGACAAATGATAAGACATTTATAGCTCCGAACTAAGAAAAATTGTGGTAAACTGTAGAGGAGGTTTGAAATAAGTAATAGAAGTGGAAGTTAAAACAGATATATTGCTCGGACAAGTTTAAGTAGCTAAACGACTTGCTAAGTTGCAACAAACGTCATTAAAGGATAATAAAAGAAGCCTAACCCTATAACGAAGTAAGGAAGGAGCTTTCTAAGCGTATAGTGATGACACAGAGATGGTGCCATCGTTCAGGACGCAGTGGGTCTAGGGTCACGTTGAAGCCTTGAGTTTGGCTAAATACATGGTTAATTTGATTATAGAAGCAGACTTGGGTCAGTAGACATTACACTTGGTCATTAAAAGAATTAGAACAAAACTTCACTTTTAATCACGAAGGTAAAATATAAGCTTGTATGAAAATATGAATAAAGCTAATTTTAAACTAACCCATAGCTCCATCATGAAACTTTATATTTATCAAAATAATTTCTGTAAAGTTATAAAGGAATTTGCTACCTTTATTTCCTTTAAAACCATATAAAGAAAAACTACGAACTCTTTTTAATCATAATATTTTAAAATTGAATTGTTTGTAATTAAGCACAAAGCTACGCAATGGGCTATCTGTGCTCTGCCCATCACGGGAATCGAAACCCGGATTCTAGCGTTGTAAGTTTGCAGACATATTGCTGTGTCACTGGGGGGCTTTAAAATTGAAGACAGTTTCATCGAATCTAAAATATTTGACACGGAAATTTTGCATTGCAAGTATTCATGTGATATTTAAAAAAATAAAAGTGATTATTCTAAAGTTTGTAGTTAGTAAGATACACTTGTCTGTTCTTTTTTTTCCTTTTAGCTCTTTGTTATTATTCCTGTAAATCACGCCAGTGTCATGCACCATACTGGTTATTACTGTCGTGGTCACTACTATGGAATTGGAGCCTCCACCTAATACAGAAGCCAGAATGTAAGTGTGACCTTATGGCTTTTAATCAAGTAGGCTTACTGTTAATCCATACGTGATAAGTACTAAATTTATATTTGATTGTTTTGTGTAGCTTGAATATATCAAAGCAAAAAACACATATATGATAAGTATTTTAATATCATAGTCAAGCAATTAATTTGTGACATTCCCCAATAAAATTGAAATAACTTATGTAATTTCGACAGCTCATAGGTGCTATCTCACGAATTTACTCTTGCTTTTTCATTATAAATCTCCCAGTTGTTAGTTATATTTAATACTGTTTGACTACAGAACATCGTTAACTACAATTCTGGCTATGATGAAGGTCACGTGACTGGAGGTTTCTTCTGCGGGGAGATTAGCTGTGGCATCGAAAATGTGAAGACTGGTTCTTATGGTTGAGGAAGGCTGACTGTAAATTCCGCTTCGTCAATTACATCGCTTACATTCTATTTTTTCATGATTATGGTTGTGTTTATTCTTCAGTTATTATTTCCTTCTATCGTTTAGTTTATCTATGAATTTTTAATTGCCTTAAAACGCTAACTTACCTTCTAGCTACTCACTTGTATTTTGAGTAAATATGTATGTATGATGAAATTGACACCAGGTTCCCTAGCGGTGACGTGTAGATACTATTAATGTAGCAGTAGAGTATGTAAATTTATGATCATATGAGGTTGTACTCTCGTGACCTACTCAGTGAGTAAATACCCTGCCAGAAGTTTCAATAAGAGAGAGAAAGTTAGTGAGTTATTGCTGTTTATCATTCGTTATTGATATTGAAAGGTATTTTTGGAATATTGTATTTGGTGTATTTTTTTGGAATTAGGTTTTTCTTTCTGATTCTTTTCCCTGGTTCCATTATTATTGATTTATTATAATTCGCGATAAATTGTTTATTAATATTGGTGGGAAGTACTGACCAGGCACTTGTTTATTAACTGTGTTTTGATAAGTGTTGAATTTATTTCTGAGCGTTGTTATTGTGAATAAATTGTTTTGTTTTTTGTTGTTGTTGTTGAGCCCTGATTGTTGTAGTTTGTTCATTTTAGATCGTTACACGCTTATAATAACGGTTTTCAAGTTAAGATGAGAAACTCTGACAACGTTCCTGAGAAGACACCCCTCTCCCAAAAGTAGAAGTCATTAGGATCAAGCTCGTTGTCCATCACACTCATTATCACAACTGGGTTGCACCTCATTACGCCAAGGTCTACCCTTACAACTTACAATAAACTTAATTTCTCTCAACATGTGCATAACTTTCCGTCCTAATAATGTCAGTTTTGTTTGTACAGACACAGAAGTACAGAAATTACAAATATAAATACAAATTCCTACATTCAGCATGCTGGTGTCTTCACCAGACTGAAATGAATATGTAGAAAAACCGTTTACAGGTTACAATGATCAACTAATGTACGACTTTGTTCTGAGTAGTGTATTTCAGAAAAGAAAATTCTTTTTACGATGATTATGTGTCCAGTACAAGAAACGAAATTGCAGTGCATGGGACAAGACATTTACAACAGAAAAGCGCTATCTTGGACATTTTGTAGCGTTGATGAAGACTTCATTGTAGTTATTGAATGACACACTGCAGAAATAAACCTCTCTGGCATTACAGTAATTGTACGTTTTGCATTTTAGATGTAAAGTATACAATTTATCGGAAGGTACCTATTTTGTTATTCTGATTTATACCGCTGACAGTGTACTGAAGACATAAAGTTTGTTACTGCTCTTGAAAGGCATCGCTAGGTACATAAAAGATTTGGGGTTCGGACCCACAGGCCCAAGAAATTTCAGTTGTGACAGCGATCATGATTTTCTATTCTGATTTTTCAAGACACCAACTGGGGATTCGGGGCACTGTCAAGTAAAATCGAGGCACGGGATCCATGTGTCAGCGTCTAGGAACACCTCTGCGGCTCCTGTGTATTCTATTGGCCAAATACGTATTTGTCCTTAATATAGTGGTTGGTTTGTATTGTTTTTTTCACCCCTTTCACTATAACTGTAGGCCTACTCTACACATAAGGTAAAGCTCAACAACTCATGTTACTGTTACCTGTGCAATTGTTTTAATCAGCACCACTATTATTATATCTTAACTATAATGCACCACACTTCGTATAATGTATTGATATTTTCATTAGTTCTGTTGTTACTCTAAATATAGAGTACAGCAGTATAGTTCTTGTGGTTGTCCAGTATCACATAATAGAAAAAACATCTCTGGCAGTACAATAATTGTATATTTAATATAAAAAAAGAAAAATGTTTACAAATAAGAATAGTTGCCGAAAAACAACCAAAGCTAACAAAGTAGTGGAAACAACAGACCTAAAATTTGTGATATAAATTACGTAAACTGCAGATGGTTTGTTTCCTGTATCCCGGGGAGGCAGCGGTAAGTTTATGGACTTACAAAGTCACAATTCGTGTTTCGACTCCACGCGGTGGATATAGCAGATTGCCCATTGTGGCTTTATTCAAAAAGTTTTCTTTCACCCACATTTCTCTTAATTTATCCATTTCAGATTCAAGATCAGAGGCATGTAAAAATAACGTGTCAGATACATCTTTTGTCTCCGACCGTTAGTTGCCCGAGAGGCTTTTGTCAATACCGGAACTCACCGTTAAATTCGATGACGAGGAACCCACTTTGAGACTAATAATGGTTAGAGACAGCTTG